TTTCTAGCTAAAGTGAAGAAAATACGCCAAAGATCTAAGCTCAACAAAGGTGGCCATTTCTAACAGCTTATAGCAAACACAAACAACACAGCTGGCAGCTGAATGCTACAAACGGGGCCCCATAAACAGGGCTCAGCGATTTTGTTTAAGATCACAAGCTCCCAACCAACACTTGTGCCACAGAAGAATGTCCATTAGTTGCTATAAAAGCAAAATTGGTAGGGCTTTGTGATTGAGGGGACAGCCCAACAGGCACACAGGAGCTGACAAACACCAACACACTGGAGAGTAGTATAAATTCTTTAATTTGAGTAATTGCCACTCTTTTTTTTTTTCTCTCTCTCCCTAATATAAAAGCACATTTCATTTTAGTTAAAAACATTTTCTTCTGTGCTACACTGAATCACTTTCACATTTATTTTCAGGTTTAGCTCCCAGTAGCCTCTCTGCATAGCATCCAGTATGATCTTATATCATGAAGGAGAAAGCAAAATGCCCGAAACAGTAGCTAGAGCTGTTTTGTCCAACTGTTGTTTTCTTTAACATTTTGTTCAGTGTATGGAAAGATGCTAACCTTTCTGGGCTATCTTAACCGCGGTGATGTGGGTGCAAAGTAAATGAGATTTAGTAGATATGTTTCTGTTGTCATTACTGAACTTCATATGCTTTGCAATGTAGGCAACATGTTTTATTTCTGTTAACTTGAAAGAGGTTTCTGTCTTATTGTTGCAATTTATTAAGGGCAAACAATCTAGGGCTTATAATAGGCCTGTAGGCAGAACAAAGCCCTTGTCAAATGGAAGGGTTGGCTGCTCAGCTGGGTAGCATGTAAATGTGCAAAAAGAACTGTTCTGTTCAAAGACACTAGACATGCTTTTTAAATAAAACATCTCCTATAATTGAGAGTTGCCATTTAAGTGTTGTGTCGGAAATGTTAATTTTTTAGAAAATAATTTAACTGAAGAAAGCGGATTCTAATGCTTTTTTTTTTTTTTTTTTTTTTTTTTGGGTAAACTCAGAATAAGCAAACCCTCACATACCACTAAGGTTACTAGAGCCCAAACATCATATGCTTCTATACTGGCAGTTTATTTTCATTATATATCACTGTGCTACGCAAGTTAGAATAAGTTCACTGTGTGAACTTGATCTTATCCACAGCATATATTTGGGTTTGGTTTTTATACAAGACATTGACGTAGTATCATGTCTCAAAAAGTAAGACAGTTTCTCATCATACAGCTCATTTTAAATTTCTCATTATGTGCCTCCTTTGCAAGAGCTGAAATTAAAGTGACAGATAAAGATAACAACATAATAGGCGTTTTTTTGAGCACTGTTCCACTTGGGCACTGATAGTCCTTTTTTCCTCTGCTGCTGAAACGTATAATCAGGACAGTATCATCAATTAGATTTTTCACTTTAACTTTTCATAATGTTTCCAGACTTCGCTATTTGGCAAAGACAATTGGGACAGATTTCTTTATTTTTTCCTCTGGCCTAAGACTCAAAACCCCCCACTTCCCAAACTGTTACCACCGAAGAGTTTATTAAATGGCTGAAAAAGACAGCTGGTCCCACCATCTGTTAAAAATTTTCAGGGGCCAAATGAAACAGGTTACACCTTTAGCCATGCCAAGTCTTCCAATACCCCCTCCCTCTCACAGCCTGTGGAGGGCTAATCTGAATTTCACGCTCTGATTTTGCTATTGCTAATGTCTGAGCTTCTTATGTGCGCTTCTTGTAGTTGCTTATATTAGTTCTCGAGCAGCAACAAAAGCGATCCTCTCCTTTCAACCTCGCTCATTTGCAATCAACGGAATCCTGGGTCTATGGTCTCCTTTACAATAAGATACTGTACCTTGAAGGAAACCCACAGAGAACCTAATATCAGACTTCTTGGAGAAACAGTGAAAACCCAGGGTACATTTCTGTTGTTTTGCAGCCACTTTTCTATAAATGCTAATGGAAGTAATTCAGATGTGCCAACAAAGGCAGAATCTGCAACACACTGCAGGTGTGAGGGGGCTGAAACAAAGGGGATGCTAACCCTAATGGTATTTCTTGTCATTAACAATTCTTTGATGTTCCTACTCCAAGCTCTCTTTTATCTTGTAGTTTTTCAGCCATCTTTGTTAACATGCAGTGCAACTAAATCTTTTTTTTCCCCTAACCTTTAAAGACATCTGCAAAATGTTTATGCTAAGTTAGTTTCCATAGCATCTTTCTGTAACTCACATTGAAGTAAAATGAGATAAAGCTTGCAAGGTTATTATTAAAACATCAGTAAGTTCCTATCATTAAGTGAAAGGAGCAGATCGATAAAAGAAACTCTTAATGTTACTTTAATAAGGATGAGTTTCTCCTAACATGACTGGGGATTAACTTCGGTGTAACAGAAGTGGTGTTTATAATATAGCAGCTCTGTTGATAAGAAGCAGTTGGTTTTACTTGGGCTCATTAAGAAAAGACAAATCACAAATATTTCAATTTTAAGAGATCAGTAACTTCCTGTACTAAAGAGCCTTTCACAATGAAAGATATTTAGGGGCATTTTAATTCTCCAGAAGGGATTTTTCTACCGCTAAGTGGGCAATGGCATTCAGTCAAGGTGCTGTAGGTGGAGTTTCTCTGTATCCATCTGTCTTTCCATGACTTACAGATGGAAAAACACTGTGTCTTTTAAAGTGTTCAACTCAGTAGGATGACAGTGAAATGAAATGAACAATCAAAGCACATAAGATGCCAACCTGAACTACTGCACAGCACTACTAGCAGACCCAGAGCTATGCTCTCATCCCACCGGTCATGTCCTGTTAGATCACGTCCCATTCTATCACAGTCTGTTGCATTATTGTTGCAGCATGCTGGAATGTTAAATGAGCAACACGATCAATCAATACCAATTTCCAATTGGAATTCAACTGTAAATCTGCATTGAGTTCAAAATGCTGAAGACTCCAACACAAGTAATCACAAGATACAGTTTCATGTAGCCTCTCATTTTGCTTTTCTTTCAAAACTTCATTTCTAACAGATCAATGTTATGAAATAAATTGTCTCTGCTTGCATTAAATACAGGAATTATCTTTGAATGTGAAAGTGAGCTTTCATCATACCAATCCTATCAAGAATACAAAGAACACTGGTTACATTCACTATTTCTCTTTTAGTTTACTTTCATCTCGAGACACAGAGACAAAGCAGTGGCAGTGTCCTTAATATACTGCCTTGTCCCAAGTTTCAGCTGTGTGGACTGACAGATTAAGCAGCCTCTCTTGCTTCACCAACAGCATTCAGCAGTCTTAGAAATCTGTATGAGAACTGGGGATCTTAGATTATCAATTTTCTCAAATTATTAGATTATTTGTAATTATGCTTCTTAGCTGAGCTCATTCCTGCGGTGGTAGAAATTACAAAATCAGAAGTTTCTGTTTCAAGGATGTTGTGATCTCAGTAGGAGCTGCTCTGTCAGATCAGCCTTTACCTAACTGCTCCAGTTGCATTAACTGCGTTTTTTCTTGCTTGTACCTGGGAGCAGCAGTAAGAACAGAAAGCAGTGAATAAACTACATCACACCATTTGTGAAAACACCTCTTCTACATTCCCCTCTCCTTGCTAAGGACTCCAGCAGCAATTCCGTATCATCACCTCCCAGAATAGAGAGCTCTATGAGAATCACATCCACCAGAACCACAAAGCCCTGCCACCCCATCCCAGGCTCAGCCATCCCATCTGCACATCTCACATCAGAATACCCCTCTTCTGCTATTGTTTTAGACAGATATCTTCACCTGACACTTGCCATGATCCATAGGATGATAATTTTGGGACACAGCCTAGACAGGTTTCCCTCCCTCCCAGTTCTGTGCTCCAGCCCAGCTGACTGCCTCCAGTCTGTGTTGTGGCCATACTGGTTTTGCTGAGAGCTTCAAATCCAGTGTTCACTGGAGACTGTTCAGAAACTGGGACTTCGGTCTTCTGCAGAACACAAATGTTAATCTACCTACTTGCCATCTCCATTTCCCAACAACCTTACAAAATGCTATTTAAATTGTGGAAAAATAATCTTTCTCTGCAACTTAGTTAAAAAAATAGGGCTCTCAAAAAAAGCAAGGGATTTAATCTACTGCTAGCCTGATCAATAATATGTAATCTAGTTTGTGGAAACGTAACTCCAAGATGTGTTTTTCACTTATCTGTTCCTATGTCCTCTAGCATCACAGCACAAATGCTACAGTAAACATTCCCCCAGTAACACACTGCATGTATTTATTTTTCTGACTGATACTGGATTTATGCGTGTAATAAAATAATTTCCAATAATTCTTGGGAAATTCATTAAGATGAATCATGGCATCAGCCTGAGTTTGAAGACACAGTGTGCTATTATTTTGAATTGTTGGCCTCTTCCCTCCACAGTTCCAGTCCCAGCACAAAGGAGACACAAAGCCTCTCACTGACTTTATAACCCCTAGTTCAGACCTAGAGGGCTGCTCCCAGGTCTTGGCTTCTTACAGCATCCTGTGCCGCTTCTGTCAGTCTGAAATCCTGCTTTGCTGTCATGCAGAAACATTTTCTGTTAACTAAGCATTCTGCTACAACTCCTCTCGGGGGTGAACTGTCTTAAAAGGCACACTAGCAAAACATACTTCTGATGCTAGCAATAAAATTGACATTATTTTTAATATCTCGTTATCTGAGTAAAAAGGAGGATAGGTAAGGTTATCAGATGCCATGTCTTGTGCATATACCAGAACTAAAACTACTTAGTTGTTTCCTACAGAGGATGACACTTCTGTGCCATATGGCCTTATTTTAAATCGTATGTACTATTATGTATCTGGTTAACCAGAAGACATTAAAAAATGCCAGAGTTTGGTTGTCTCCCAAAATTCTCCTTCTGTTTTGAGAAAAAAAAATTAGGAATGAGAAGTAAGAATATGGTTGACTTCAGTTATTTATTTCATTGCTAACTCTTTTACAGTACAAAAGCAACATCCCTGTGCATGTTCAATTCTTTTAAGAGAAAGGATCTAAGTATTCAAATATAACCTTAAACACAAGCAAACAAACAAAAAAGGCAACATTTAAGCTTGGGGCTTAAATCTGATTTTACATAAATACAAATCTGATATAAAATAGCAACTTGTACCACTCAGATACCTTGACTTCCAGTCCTTTGCTTCCACTACAAAATTACCTTCTTACTCCCTGTCCATAATGTCAAATATCTTTTTGCGTAACTGTGTACTTCTTCATTTTTGCTGAAAAAGAAACTTGTGAATTTCTACTTACAGTTATGGACTTGAGCTCTAAAATGTGAGAGTTGATCATCTGTTCTCATACATGTGAAACCAAGTAAAGATCAATAGATACTGAAATGAGAGCACTGAGCATTAATGCTGTGGGAACTGGGCATGTATTGCATATATTGCTCCATCAGAGACAGCCACATTACCAGGTATATGAAACACCTTGATTTCCTACAGTTTACTGAGTTCAATATTGAATAAGACTGCTAGATCTGTAGACACTACATTTCTTCTACTTTTAATTTTTAATATTGTCTACATTTAAAGCTGTGTCTGTTTTTAAACAGAATAGAATATGTAAGTAAATAAAAACATTTTCTATCACTGTAATGGATGTTGGTTATACCAACAAAGGTTAAAAATCATTCAGTTAAGACTACTGTTAAATAAGATACAGCAAAAGTTGAAGAGACTTAAGTATGGAAAATAGCAACACGAAGAGACTTCTTACAAATCCTTATGGTCTGTAGCCATTTATATGGAATGAGAAGTGCATCAGAGGTGTGTAAAAAGTAGTGTGAAGAAAATAACTGGTAGCTCCTTCTTACTCGCTGACAATGCTGTTAGAAGGTGCCCTATTCCATTAGAAAGGACCATGTTTAAATAAATTCATTCTCTTTAAACCTCAAACAAAAAAATCCACTTTGTTTGCGTGTGCCATGCACAGTTCTCATAACCACAACATACCAGAAGTTAGGAACTCGGTGGAATTAAAAGATGATGGGATAATTACTTGGAAGTACAAACACAGTTATATAATATAGAACAAAATATTACGTGAGAATACATTTCTAAAAGCATTATGCAACTACAGTAAATAACACAAGACAATCAGTAGCTGTTCAGTACTGGGGGAAAAGTATCTACTGCTTAAAAAATGTGGCCATTGCCACCAAAAGGAACATCAGCTTTTGGTCTGACTGGTCTCAGCAAAGTTTCTAGTTTTACATTATATAGATGTATATTTTATAAGCTTCTAAGTAACAGCTCCTCAGTTGGTGCGATGGGGACTACTTAAAAGATCCTCAGTACACAAAAGCCCTTTCCACCACTCTTATGGCATATGGGTGAGGGAGGTCACAGTGGGGGCAAATTTAAGAGGGCTGCAGTTTACTCCTATTCTAAGGTCCCTTTATGTTACTGAAGTGATGTAAATGTTTAAGTGAGAAGCAAGTTTAAAATTACCAAATGAAAGGGACTAATCTCCAAAAGCTCCCTGCCCAATGTGTGTTGGCACAGAGAGTTTTCATGCTGCCAGAGCTGGAAGGCAGAACTGGCTGCTAGTGCCATTAGGGTCTGCGGAAGGGTCTACTAAAATCTCTTGTTGGTCGTCACTCTTTACTCTCCCATTCACTGAAATGTGTTAAATGTATTACAGACACGGTCCATGAAATTTTCTTTTTCATAACAGGATTCAAAGTCTTTTATAAAATATTAAGAACAGGATGTTATGAACTATTAAGCAAAACACATTAATATTTCAGGACAATATACGTGAAAGAAAATAAATCAGAATGCAATAATAAATAATAAACCAATTGAGAAAATCTGAGCAGTTTGTGCTGATGTGCTCACTGACCACGACCATCAGACTGACATGTCTCCTGCACTGCTTCTCCCTATTTCTTGGGGCACATTATTCATCTGTGTTTGTATCCCATCTCATATATTTTCAGAACTATCTTTTTTAAAATTCTTTTTTTTTTTTTTTGCACATTTAACTGTGAAAATCTGTTCTGCCAACTGGTCACCAGCAGCACAATGTTGAGGAGATGGCCCTTAATAATCTAAAGGGATACATGTGCACTAAAGTAAAGATGAAGAAAACCCATTTCAAGAGCGTTACGTGGTGAGTATGAAGTGAGTCAGCCAAACAGCATATGAAGAAAGGGGTAAGTTACGAAACAAAGCCAAGCACAGACCAGCTTTATGCACAGTTCTGACTCAGAACGCATAGCTCCGCAGTGGTTCTCAGATAGTAACTTCAAATAAAAATATTAGTGACATTAAATCAATGTGAAAAGTTATATCAGATGTAGATAGTGGAATTTCATATGACAAGGAAAATGTTATATTTTACCCTTTCCATTCAATTCAAGAGTGCTCAAAATATGACATAAGATCTTTTGAAGTCCATTTCTGATGACTAAGATTGATGCGAACTCAATAATAGGGAAGAAGAAACAGAAGAACCTAAGGAATGCATCTAGAGAGCGTTTACCTTTTGTTTGTGCTTGTTATTTAATATTCTGAAGCTGTGAACTCGGCCCATTCAACAAAGCACTTAATCATAACCTGAAATTTCATTGGTTTCAGCAGGACTTGGGTTTCAGCTTAAGTGTTTTTCTGAATTATAAATTACTTTTTTAGTTCTCTTTACTTCCTTATGAAATTAATACAACTGCTCCTCATAATGCATTACTCAGTGTAAGACAAGCTTTTGGTTAATAGACACATGATGTAATATCTAACTGGAAGGCTTGCTTCTGTTTAACTGAAACAACTGATGAACTCTCACTATACATAATAATGATGTGCACTGCACTAAAATAAAACATTATTTTCCCAGTGAAACTTTGTTATCAGAAAGGAGAGATGAAACCACAAAGCACCAACACTGCTAGAGCTCCCTAAGACCTATGCCAATATAAGAACATAGTTTAGTTATGGAACTGTTTTTTAAAAAAAGCCATTTTCCATCCAGATATGTTGCAGATTAATGGGCCTGGAGAATGTATGCATTATGTAGGAAAAGATGTTATTTTTGATGAGGGATCATAGCAAATACTTCTTGTTATATTCTGACAAAAAGTAAAGAAAACTGACCTTTATGTATGAATTCATATAAACTGCCATTCATGGTTGTAGTGCATCTTCTAATCTACATCTGCAGCTACTCACCAATTTAATGAGTCCTTAAGTTTTAAAGGCTCTAAAGCCCACACCCGGATGTACAGCAGAAGAGAGTAAGGAGTGAACTAAAGGACTGTTGCCTCTTGCAACTATTGTCACGCTGTGAGAGAAAAGTGAATGAAAGCTTGTCCTTGGAACAACAGAGTCCTCTTGTTCTCATCTGCCCTGTCCTGACTTCACTACTGGTTTTATTCGATGAGACAAAACTTCTGCTGAACTATCTACCTTTAAACCCTATTCCAGCCTAGGAATGCTCTGGCCACATTTGCCTCTTGTTTCCTATGCCATTTTTCCTCATCCTGTGGTCAAAAAGATGGATCCAATGAACTTGGATTGCAAGAAATTCTGTAGCACTCCAAATGAGCATGGACTGCACCTCCACAAGGAGGAAGGTTTGTTAGCACAGGTCATGGCACTCACTGGAGGGGAAATGAAAACAAGCATCAACATTAGATCTGTATAAAAAATGGTCAGATTTACTCAGCATCATTTATCAAAAATTAAATCTGCTCAAAATGATTTTTTGAGGCAGTACACATAAGAAAATTTTATTTCCATAAGTTTTTACAGGAGATGTACAGAAAAGAAAGAATTGTCACAGATCAAAACTGTGGGTCAGAAGCTGAAAGGAAAGCAAAGTAGTCAGCTTTTCCACAGAAGCTGTTACCAGCAAAGTGTCTCTGTTCCATAGGAATTAGCAATGGTTTCACTAGGAATTTGGAAAAAAAGTGAAAAGCAAGTAGAAAAATTTGCAGGTGACATTATTTCATGTTACATACAAGAGAGCTGTGGAAGTGGAGGAATCACTCAAGCACAGAGATTAAGCCCAGGTTAAGCAAGATATGAGATACTTGCACAGATAACAAGAATACCTAGTCATAATGATGGTTTCAGTCAAAAGGGCTATATGAAGCAATCTGAAGTCAGATTCAGTCATCTAATATTAGCATTAAAACTGTTTTGCTTCTTGTATTTGAAATAGTTTTTCTATTTATTCTATTTATTCTATCTACGGCAAACTAATGCATCATAAGAAAAAATACTTATGAAGTACATTAAGACACGCATTACTTTAGATGAATTTACTCTGCACATTTTTGTAATATTAAAAACCATTCACAGCATGCAAAGTTATAAATAATAGAGTTTTAATATTAAACTAAGGAAATATAGAACATTTTCACCGTAACCCCAAAAGATGCTTTTTAGTACAGTGTTCTTCTAATATAGATCAGTTCCTTGATCTTATTTTCCACACAGCAGTTGTGCCAGCACAACAGACGGGATGGCACAGGCTGGAAACAGCAGCTGGGGGAGTGGGGAGGAAGGAGCTGGATCTGCGTGAACTAACCTTGCTGCTAAGGAAATGTGCTGGTTAACATCAACACGTACAGGTAGTGCTGCTTCCTTTACTGGAATTGCTTACAGAAATACAATTTGTATCTGCAAAACCAGATCTAAATTACTGAAAGGAAGTTGCTAACTGAATGTCTATTTTTTTTAATGGATTACATAAGCAAGCACAAAGTTAATTAGAAGAGATTACCGGCAAGAAAATACTCTTACCAGTGTTAGTCAACAGAATAAGTTCAGCTTTGAGCAAAAGACACTCCTCTTGAAGAAGGAGGAGATGGGGAACTGAGACAGCTGTCATCTTCAGGGATAGATTCAACAGCTGACAGTGATTTGTAATACTCATCCTCTCCATCAAGCACTTTGATTTGGCTTGAAAGAAAACAAACAACATTTATTAAGTTAAAAAATCAATTATGTCAATATCTCCAGAAACAGAAACTTCTCTATGGATGCAAAAATGAAGGGTGCTAATGCAAGAAAGGAAAAAAAAGGCTAGACTGATTTGATCAGAAAGGTGTAGCTTTTACACGTGCCTTTTATGTTTCTTCTGCTGCTACTGCTTATGATTGGAATCTGAATGGTTCTAAGGATCAGTGAAAGGCAATACAGTTTTTCTTTTTTAGCTATACAGAATGATAGACAAACTGTTTGCATCAAATGGGCATTTCACTCAAGCAATGGGGGTTGGGTTTTTTTTGTCTGTACCATATATGTGGTATTATTTTGGTAATGCATTTCAGCTGACAGTTTACTGTGCATATGAACCAAAGAACACATCACTAATTTTTGGGCAAAGCCTTATTGACACCAAGGGTCTTTCATTTTCTGGTGAAGTATGCTGAGCACTGAAGTCTCATATCAGTACTTTTGTTCCCAAAACAGGAATACAGACTTTTTAAAATAGTGGGGAGAAATTGAGTTAATCAGATTCTGCTCAGTCATGCAAAATTTTGGGCTTTAACCTTGACCCAAAGACCTTCTATTCATCTGATTATATTCAGAAGATCGATTAACAAGTGAGAAAATATTACATAAGCTTCTAATGTAATCTTGGAGTAGATGCCTTTGCAAGATCCGGTATATACTGGTCCTCACCAATCCGTGTCACCAGTCAGCGAAATGTTTTCATCACTCAAAAGTAGCCAGTTGGACTTTCATAGACTGTTTTCAATTTGTACCTATTTCCAGGTGGTAATTGTCCACATGACAACAAGAACTGACTCAGCTGAATTGAGAAGAAGCAACACTCTCTTGGGATGAGGGGCCTCTTAAAACCTGTTCCCCCAAGGAAGGCTGAAACCCACTGTGAGTGAAGAGCTGCAAAGCTGGTCATATTCTAGGTTAGAGAACTTCAGGTTAAATACCTTTCATCTGACACCACTCATTAGGGGCAAACACATTGTAAAACATAAAGGTTATTTTTGTAGGAGTACTCAGAGAAAGCTGGGGAGCTGTTTTGAAAGAATCAGTTCTAGTATCTGCAGACAGCACTACATATGAGTTTTACATTTGCTTCTGTAGAAAACGTCCAATGTCAGTGCACAGAGATATGTTAATTGTTTATTTTTAGAAGCCTCTCTAGAAAGTTTTGCATATTCTGTAATATCACAAAGGACTTCTTCTGTTTACAGTTGCTTAGAACTAAGAAGATAGATATTTACCCAAGTTTTCTTGGCTTCCTCTTGCTCCCTTGATATTCTAGAGTTCCCTGTGGAGAGGGCCAAGAACACACAGTCAAAGCAAAGCAGCAAGTCGTTAATTTTTAATTCAAAGTGATTTTGTGTTGAATGCAAGCAGATGCTGATAATATCAGAAGTCACAGCATAATTTTTTTGATCAAAGGGCTCAAGTGAGCCTGATGAAGCATGCATCTTGCTCGTCTTTGATAAACCACATCAATTATTCACCGTGAAGGCAGACATCCTGACATGAAAGCAACAGATAAAGAGCATAAGCACATGTTCAAGACGAGAGCAGAAGAACGTGGGGGTGGGGCTGGAGGGGCTGAAACAGGTATTAATAACAGAATTATTAACTGGAAACAAAGCCAGTAAAACAGCTTTATTGCCACTTTGAACTCACATTTAACTGGTTATAGTACATGTTGTCCTCAGGGCTATTCAGCATTTTGGGCTGCTGACATCGTCGACGAGGTGTTCTCAGCTTCTGTTCAAGACAGTTTTCTGAACCTACAGTAAGATAATACTATTTAGTTTTAAGCTGTGCCAGGTGCTGTGAACGTCTTAGGATATTTTAGTCAGTAAACAGTCCTTTCTTCTGTCCCATTTGGTCCCAGATCTATTAGCAAGTCTATCCTATTCAAAGTGAGCACAAGAAACTTGGGAAGTCTTTGTTTTCTGTTTTGAAACTTAGTTCAAACACAAGTTTTTAAGCATAGCTTCACTTTTACTTTTAAAACCCTTTTTTTTATGCTTCCCTCTGTACAAATCACACAGCTCCGTATTCCTTTCACTCTTTATCTGAGTATCTTCTGCTATCTAAGCAGGAAATGAGGATACTGTGACCAGCTAGGGATACATCCTTCAGCAGCAGCAAAGACGTTTTTCTACAGTAGGAGGTAATAAAGCTCTTTGACTTATGAGACTTACTCTATTATCACCATTTTTATTATATAGAAAGGCTACTTTTTGATGTGGCTCTCTGCTTAATCGGAGTAATCAAACTAGTTTGGAATTACACTTTCTTAATATAATTTGTGGTGTGCTGTAGAGTAACAGTTGCTTAAAGCCATCTGGAAAGCAGAGGCTAAAGATGAAGGAAATATTTTGGAAAGGAAAGATTCTGAAAAGAACTGACAGCCTTTTTATTTTCATTTGTCTTTTTTTTCTCATGTTAAGGACGAAAGACATTATGGTGCACTGCATTATATTTCACCAGGAGTTTCTGCAGCACATCTTTCAGATTACCAGAACAAGTGCTTTCAGGACAAAACAGAAGCACTATTTACTGAAAGACAGAGTGGTGGGTAAAGAAAGCTCATTCATTTTCCACATAATTCTCTCAATATCTTTGACTTTTCTGACATTTCCCTCCTAAAAATTATTTTAATGACAGTGTGAACAGAGAGTTTTTGGTGGCACATTTGCACTACGTACTGCATGGGAAATGTGATCTGACACAAAGGAACAGCACAAAGATCAAGCAGTGCAGGAGCTCCTTTTAAGCATTTCAAACCTGAAGTCAGTGTGCGTTGTGCAGATGTAGGGCTCACATCCCACAAATCCATGTTTAAGATTTGTTGTTAACAAGCAGGTAAACAAAGAAGGTCTATCACATACTCAGGATCACAGTCTGCAAATACTGCATTTTTCTGCAGTTACTGAGGGAGGTATAGGAGGTGGTTGCACTTGGGCCCTTGCAGCCGGAGGACTGACTGTTCTATATTTTCTTTCACTGTCTTTTTTCTGTCTCCACGGTCAAATCTCTAAGATATAGTCTCTTGGAAACTATCGAACTGTGGTTCTTGTTGCGGAAGAGGATCACTTACTCTGAGCCCACCATCATCTTCCCACACAATGCCTGGAATTGATGGCAAGTTAAATGGCACCAGGGAGCTGACTGTAGAGTTAGGTCTCAAATTAAAAATTATTTTATAGAGAAGGGTTACATTTTTTCATTAATAAAAAATAAATTTTTAACTAATATGCTTGTACTGCTTGCTAATTATGATACCCAAACCTTCCGTGATTTATACTTTTCAAGTTCAGTAAACCTTTCTATTCTATCTCAATAGACTGTGACAGCTGACCCCGCTACTTCCATTGTATAAAACCAGACAAGGCAGAAGCTGCTCCAGAAAATGCTTGAAGACTTGTGGAACTTGGGTTCCCAAGTGCTATTCATGTCTTTGGAAAGTTTTTTTTTCCGTTACATTTAGATAGCAGATAATGGTAACCTTCTCTCTGAAATCTCTGACAGTTTTTGCCAAAGGCTTGCTGCAGCCATGTTCTGTTCTCTCTGTTTGCCGTGAAAGTTATTCAAATTGACCTTAGAGCGTTCTGCCATATCAGGTCAGTAGGCATTCCAATCTTTGCAAGAAATGTGTTCAATTGCAAGGCCATACAAATTCCTTTTTTCAACAATGTAATTCTTGAATAACTCTCCAAAAATCACTTTTTTCAGTCTATCAAGAGGTCGGTATGAAAAAAGTCCCAGGCCTCACAGTTATTCATACTTTCACACATCTCTCTGCAGCTTGCCAAAAGTATACACCACATAAATATTTGTAACTTCTCAAACAGTACTGCAACATGATGGGGGAGGGGGGGGAGGGTTCTTGTGTCCTTTCCCCCAGGATGCTGTTGAGGCCTTCATGTTATTTTTCAAAACATCTGTATGGTCTTCATTTTTAAAATGTCTTTTATTCATTAGGATTTTGAAACACTAATATTTTGTTCTAGCTTTTTATATTGATGCTTAATTATTCCTGTGTATTCCATGGGTGGTCTGCAGCTTGTGTCCTCCAAAGGAAATACCCTTTCAGTGGGCCCATTTATCTTAGCATTTAGCAGCATACTACACGAACAGTAAAAGATCTGGTAACATTTATCATAAACTACCATATCTGGAGAAAACTGCATTAACATGTGCTCAACACTCAGCAGTTGAATAGGCAGTTTAAATGGTGTTCTATAACATTTTGCTTTGATGGCAAACTTAAAGCATCCAATAGGAAAAGCTAAAAGCAGCAGCACCAATGTCATTACCAGTGCATTATTTGTGTTGCACCTCAATTGCGCCAAGAGCCCAGCACGCCCAGACTCCCAAGTTTCCTACAGATTCACAATTTGGATAAGAGAGTGCACACATGCACTTCCTTCAGGCTGTCCTGTAGCACTAGCCTGAACTAGCCAAGTAGGGTAACTGCCTCCCTTTTGTCCAGAAGAAAACTTTTCTTCCAGTGAGCAGAAAATGTTCACGTAGTAATTTCCCAATCTCAATTAATAAATCCTTCATGACAGCACATAAATAACAAAGTAAATCTCCTCCTGACAAGCTTGCTATGTCAGCTGATCTGGCCAGCATAGGACAGACTGAGGTTCTAAGTGTCCTCCTTTCCTTGCTTGAAGCTAAGCAAACATCCCTAAATCATAGAATGGCTAGGTTGGAACAGACCTCAAAGATTACGTAGCTTGAACTCCCCTGCCACAGGCAGGGCTGCCGAGCACAAGATCATTCTGCCCAGAGACCCATCAAACTTGGTCTTGAACACCTTCACCCACAGCTTTTCTGAGCAGCCTGTACCAGTGTCTCACCACCCTACGAGTGAAGAATTTCTTCCTTAATGTTGCTCACAGTGAAGGGAATTAGAAACTGGCAAATGGATAAATTTAACTATAAAGTACGTACTTATAACTAAACAATCCAATGGGGTTTCTATTTAATCCTCTTCTATTACTACAGTCTATTCTTCTTATTCATCAGTTACGGCAGAGACCAGGGGCTTGCACTGCTCAGACAGATTACGAAGATGTGTGTTTTCAAGTAAACGTAAAGTCAGACATTTAAGTTACATTTTTTAGAACTGGGAATTGCACAATTGGAAAATGGCACCTCCAGGAAGACTTGGGAATCCTATGTATATTCTGCTGAGCATCAAGTAGATTGGGAGCAAAGTGGAGTGCTACTCCACAGAAACAAGGCAAGGGTTCTACCATTGACTGCAGAATTGTTTTAGAGAGAGCCCTGTAAACTGCAGAATGTTTTGAGAACAATTTGAGATCTGGAAAATTTGCTTTACAGTCAACAAAAATTAAAATGTGATGTTCCATTGTTTCAAAAGAAGGATAAGAATGTTTTGAAGCAAGCCTAAGCTCCTGTATAGAAGGATTACTGGTGGTGGAGGGCTTTTTACTCTAGGAAACACAGGCCTGAAATGCCTGAAGGCCACGAGAGGAAGAAAAATCCAATTTAAATACGGCACAAAGTGAAAGCAATCAGACAGGAAAAAAAAAATTAGCAGTACGATGGAAATTCAAGATGAGATTGGAAGGTTTTAGAAAAGCTATACTTTAACTAAAGCTGAAGTTAAAAACTATTCAAGATACCAGATGGGTCTCTTCTCACCTAATGTGAATTCATTTCTTTGTGGGTCAATCTGCAGAAGATTTTTTGTAGATTTTTTGATTTCTGGTATCTACTTTCACCTTTCAATTTCCATGCATTTCTTCTTGGTTTTTGTATGGTTGAAACAAATATTTTTCTTCAGTTAGCCATCACATCCACCACATTGACACTTTTCATGAGATCCAAGTTTGAAGTTTGAAGTGAATGAGTTTGAAGAAGATTAGCAAGTTTCATATGCCATACCTTATTTAGATGATTTTCTGTTTAGAAATTCATTCTTTCAATAAACTGCAAAAGACTTTCTCAAAGCTGCACAAGCTGACAGCCAGATATGGGGAAAGACTTTGAAATGCTCTTTAGCTACAAGACAAGGACTTCTGCACCGAGGATTTGGGCCCTGACTGATGCTTACAGAACAGCTGAAAAACCTGGAAAAAAAAAAATATGTTTTTCGGATGACTTCCTGTGAGGCGTACGACTTCACTCTGATACTTAGAGAAAATCTCATTTAGATGTCCCATTTGCCCTGCTTGTCTCAATATTGAAAACTTGTAGACAGGCCCTGGGCATACTCTTCAGAGGAACTACAATCATCATTCCTGCTCCTGAAATGAAGTTGGGGTCTTCTTCAACTTTTCATGATTAAGTCCTTGCTTCAAAAACCTCATGATGCTGGTGATCTTGCCAAACACTTCTAATTCTTCCTATCTGGTGAATTCTGCTAAGAAAATGGTGACCTGCATTTGGAAGTTGTAAAATCCACAGATGCGAATCAGGTTGTCTTAAGACTGGTACAGCACAGAGAGGGCACTAAATTCTGGATGACATCTTACTTTTAGCAAGGAATGCACCGAAGGGATCTTTGCCAATGCGCCAGTGCTACAAAGCAGGCTGCATCGCTGACTCCCTTGCTGAAGGGACTCCATCCACTCCAATACATACTGAGGAGTGGAGTAGAGCAATCAGTTTATTTCTGAAGCCATTCACCCAAAAAAGGTTTGGAAGGCCTTGTATTTTTCTGTTTCAGGTGAACACAAACTTAACAACACAGGATGAGCAGTCCTTCTGTAATTACTCAGACACAGGGAGATTTATCGTATGA